ACCTGTCCCAGCAGGGAAATACCTCAGGGGGAGAGGAGGCACTTGGGCTTCAGCAAACCCAAGTTCAAAGTCTCACATCCCCAGGGAGCAGCCCATGCCCATGGGCACCACTCCTGCCTCCTCTAAAGACATTTTGGGAGACACCTTGCACAGCAGAAATGCCATTTCCACCTACATCCCAGTGGTGCCCACATTTTCCAGTATCCCCACCCTCCCTGCCTGCCCTTGTAATAGCTGCAGAATTACCTTTACCCCTGCTGGGGGTGTCTGAGGGAGCAGCCCCCAAAGTGGCTTCTACAAGGAGCAAACAGGACAAAGGCTTGGGCTGAACCTCTCCACAGGTCCCATGGGAAAGCACTTGCACCTTCTGCCAGGGCCCCTGGTGACTTCCACAGCCTGAAATCCCAGCCCAAGATGCTCCCAGGTATAAAGCCCAGTAGCTGTGACACAAATGGGAAATAAATGGGCATCCAAATGAACAAAAACAGAATCCCAAAGTCTGAATTCTGCTTTCCTGCAGCCAGGTAGCATCCAAGGGGAAGCACCACCTCCCTAAATAACACCACAGCTCCAACTCCAGGTCTGCAGCTACACGTTGGGGCTTTTTCAACCCAGTGCTGCTATAATTGGTCTAAAACATGATTTAATATCAGAGACGCCGAACACTTCAGTCAAAAATAAACCTGCTTTTTTTTCCCCCCTCCTTCCTCCTGTAGGCAAGACCCCATTTTTGTTTTCCCTCATTGTTGCAGCCTGTTTCCACGACTGGTGTGTTAAACACTTCTTAATTCCTCAGCCCAAGCCCTACCGTTCAGATTTATGGTGGCTGGTGTTTTATGAACTATCCCCTGCCCAAGAATATTTTGTAAATCCACATTCCCCCAACATCCCTGTGCTTGAAGTAAAGCTTCACACTCAGCCAGGCTGGGCGCCCAACAATACCCTCATTTTTTAATCAGTCACCTGTTTCTCATTTTAAGTTTATCACACTTGAAAAAATACTATAATTTCTAGAGTTGTAAAGGAACCTACAAACTTTGGTCTCAGAAATTTCATTTCGAAGGCATTAACTCATTTTGAAAGTCCCTTGGCTATTTAAGGTGTAGAGTTTCCATTAGCAGGATAAACTCCGTGGAGCATGGGGCGTAATGTTCTTATGGAAAACAGTCCCTTCCCCTAATTATTTAGTCTAGCAGGGAATGAAAATAATTAAGTCTCAAAATTCCCTTTAGAGTGGAGCTGGGGGAGGTGGGATAGGGTAGGAAAAAGGAGCTTTTTTTTTTTCCACCCAGCTCCCAAAGGGAGCAGAGCCACGATGGGCACAACCAAGCTGGAGGGTGGCAGGGAGGGTGTGTCACAGAGTGGAAGGGCTCTGGCTCAGGGGTGCAGAGATGCCCTTTGGCAACCACCAGAGCTGCAGCCACCCTGGGTTAGCTTTTCTCTCAGGTGTTACTGCTGAGGCTTCCACTGAAGGCTTTTGTCACAACCACGATGAAATGACAATAAAAAGGTGATCGCTGGCTGCTGGGGCTGAGGATGCTGCCCCCACCAAACCCTCAGTCAAGGGCAGGTCTGTGTTAAAAAAACAGGTCTCCTGCTACCTGCCTTTCCTTCTTGCACCTAGATCAGAGGGTGTGGATCCATCCTCTGGGTTCAGGTTGTGCTTGCCCCATGGGAACGTGTCCTGGAGCCGTGCTGGGGGTGCAGGGGGTTCTCCAGCCTCACCGTGCAACAAGGAGGTGGTTAAAATTAAACAAAGAAATGGTGGTTTTGAAATAAAAGGGGAAAAAAAACAACCCCAAACCCAAGGAGGTGAGAGTGCTTGAGCAGAAGTGATGCTGGGGGAAAGCAGCTGATGGAGCTGCTGTGCCCAAGCCGGCTGCAAGCACCACGAGTGGAAACCCAGCAGGCTGGGATGGGGCACAAAAATGGGGGAAAAACCAGGTAAACAGTCACTTCAGTTTCCTTATGCAGGGAAAGTGCTAACAGCAAACAAGAAATAGCCCAAGAAAATCTCAATAGCTACAGGAACTGGTGACTGAGGTGAGAGCCCAGCCCTCCCACCTGGGCCACACTGGATGGTGCCCATGTCCCAGGCTCACCTAAACCTGAGAAGTCACCCACAGCCTGGGATCCAGAGTGAAATGGGCTGTTGGATTTTGGTCCGAGCCAAAACGAGCATTTATAAATGGTGCTTTTTATTTTACACCACCCAAAAATACACTAGACCCATGAAAAAACCTTTAAGCAAAGCTAATGCCAGAGCAGAGGCAGCTGACACATAAACCTGGGGCTGGATCCTGATCTTTTCCTACTATAAACTAGCTGCTAAAGAGGGAAAACAGAGTCTGTGCTCAAATTAACCCAAGGCAATGCCTGAAGCTGCTCCACGAGATCTCCAGCACCCTGTGCTCAGCACAGTGGGCAGCTGCTGGACCTCCTCCTCTTCCTCTGCAACCATTATGCCCCCAAAACTAACAAAAGTCAAGATTTGCTTTAAATTCCTGAACATTTCACTTCCTCACCTGGTAGAGAACACAAGAAACCCCCAAACAACACCTATCTGTCACCTGGAGCAACGCAGCCTTCTCCCAGCCACATCCCCCTTTGTGATTTTCATTTTAAAATTGGAAGGATTTCATTTTAAATTTCATTTTAAAATGGAAATTCGACGTGTTCAAATACTTGTAGTTTTTTTTGCAGCACCCCTGACGCCAGGGAGAGCAAGAAAGATGCAGCCTGTCTGTGGCAAAGTCCTGGAAGGCAAGAAGTGGGACATGTTTTCTTGATGTTTAACCTGTTATATGTCTTGTTCTCAGCCTCCTACCAGGAGCAAGGTTTATGGCACTGGGGGACACGTGGTAATAAACAGCTCTGGGATTACCCCACGCTTCTGTCGAGCCGTTTATTGCCAGCAGCCACCAGATGGTCACAGCTCCTGGCTGCTGGCACCAGGGGACACCTCATTCCAACTGCTGACCCAGGTCCCTGCTTCTGCTGAAGCCCCCGGGGTCGGTCAGTGCTCAGGTCTGACTGAATTTCTTCTGTTTTTTTTGGGTTTTAATTAAAATAAGGTGAAAAATGCCACTCGGTGCATTTGTGGCACTGAGCCCTGGGGACCTGAGGGGAATTTGGAGACACTCAGCTGATAAAACCACCTTTAAAGAGAGGGAGCTGACACAGTGCAGGTTCTCCAGCCCCTCCTCCAGCTCAGCCTTGCAAATGATGCCCCAGGACCATCTCCCCGATGAAGTCCTGGCTGAGTGAGCCCTAATTTCTCCCTGCTGTGAGCTCCAGCCTTCATTAGCACCCTAATGAGGCACCCACCCCCTTCACCCTCTGCTTGCTGCACCATGTCCCCTCCCTGGCCATCAGAGAGGTGCCACCACCGTGGGGTCTCCTGAGCAGCCCCCAAAGCAAGGTGGTGGGTAGCAGCAGGGAGGTCACAAGCTACCCTGCTTTAGCTGATAAATGCACGTGGCAGCAAATGAAGGTCCATAAACCCAAAAAGAGGTGGCCAGAATGGGAACACAACCCAGAGGAAAGGGTGTTGACGTGCTCCTCAACACCACTGAGTGAGACCAGTTGATCAGGCAGCATCAGCACCCTGCTCCTCACCCAGAAAACCAACCCCAGCACAGCTCATCACCACTCAAACCCCTCTGCAAACACTGTCAGAGCAGAACCAGCCCGTGGTGGGGGCTGTGCTGGTCCAGCCCAGCACTCCTGCTGCAGCAATAATGACCAGAGGTTCCTCAGAGCCCTCCTGGATCCCAGTCAAGGTGTCACTGGTGTGGGACAGATCTGCTGCTTGTGCGACCCAACCGACTGCAGCACCACCCTACAACGTGCCCTGAGCTTCAAACCACCACTTAGGGGAGCTCTGGGGTGGTCCTGAGGCTCTGAGCTCGGAGCAGGATCTGGCCCTGTGTGCTGGGAGTGCCCCCTGGTTCACAGCGACAGGAAAATGGGTTCTCAAGTGAGAATATGTGCAAAAAAACCACCCAGATGACTGTTCCTACAGCAGGCTTGGCTCCTGGACCCCCAGGGGTCATGTCCCATCAGCTCTCTGGGCACTGTGACAGGGCTGGGTTCTTGGGGAACCCCAGAAATGTGCTTATCAGAAATACTCAAACATGATGGTGGGCACCTCACTTAGTTGTATTCCAAGCTGAGCTTCTGCTCTGGCTTTTTGGAGACTATATCCAGACATAGATTCAGCTCTGAGGATAAACCATCCTGGTTTTATAAACCTTCTGGTAAAAGGTGGAAGTTTTTGGTGTCTTGGCTGGGAGAGGAGATTTCAGAATTTAGGGGGTGCACTGGGCTAAAGCTGAAGGACATCAGCAGAGTTCAGGAGGAAGTTCATTCCACAGGGTGCTCTGAACCTTCCTCCTTGTTTGCAGTGCATCCTAAGAGCCTCAAATGGAAAATATTAGCAAGAGCACAATACTGCTTGAGTGGATCCAAAATTCCCTTAACATGTTTTCTCAGCTAAAAATAGCTTCAACAAAACAGACACTTTTGTGAAAAAATGTCCTTTTGTAGAAAACCTTGAGGTTTTCCTCTGTGCCTTCCACTTGCTGATGTTTGCTTTGTCTCTTCATTGAAAACACAAACACTTCCAAGACAAGAGTCCACAAAAACAATCATTTCTGCAGGACTGGGTTGGTTTTGGAATTCTTCTGTAGGCCAGCAGAAAGGGCAGTTTTGATCTGAGCTCAAAGGGATCATGGCAAAAAATCTGAAGCTGATGGAAACCCCTTCAGCAGTCGTGATTTCTGGCCAAGAGAAGCGACCCCGAGCCCATCTCATCCCAGAAAATGGGGTCAACCAAAGGGTCCTTGTGTCCCTGCATGGAGCACCCCATGGTGTTCTCACCCACCCTACTTAAAGACCCCCTGGGTACCACCAAATACAAACCCCAACCTCCACGTCCAAGGCAGGAACAACACAGAGCCCTGGGGGGCTCCAGCTCCTTGGCAAAACTCAAGGCTTACCTTGGGGGAGCTCTGCCTGCAAAAGGGTTCATTGCCATCAAGGACAAGGTCTCCTCTTCCTGGGCCAGCAGCTTCCCAGCCAAGTGGATGATCCATTCATTCTGCTCGTAGGTCTTGGAAAGGAAGAAGAAACACAAATGTCAGGCACTGCTGGGCTTCTCATGGAGTGCAACTGGCATGAAAGACTTCTGCCTGGGCAAGGGGCACCCACCAACCCCAGTTCTCCCCAACTCCCACCAGCTCTGGCTCCTCCTCCACCTTGGATCACACATCTCTTTTTGACTTTTCATAGATCTACCATAGTTGGAGGTGTTCTTGCCAATTCTGCCCCTGAGAACTTCATTTTAATCCTTTCTTTTAGCAGCAAGCTCCACAGAAGAACAGCAATGTCACATTTTGAGATAAGAATCCATAGAATCAGAGAGTCATTTTTTTGGAAGAGGCCTTTAAGGTTATTGAGTCCAACAGCTCCCCAGCACTGCCAGGTCCCCACTAACCCACGTCCCTCACCCCACATCTCCACGGCTTGGAAACCCCTCCAGGGGTGGGGACTCCACCCCTGCCCTGGGCAGCCTGGGTCAAGACTCAACAAGCCTTTCAGGGAAGGGATTTTTCCTCAGGTCCAACCTCAACCTCCCCTGGAGCAACTTGAGGCTGTTTCCTCTTGTCCTGTCCCTTGTTCCTTGGGAGCAGAGCCCGACCCCCCCCTGGCTCCAGGCTCCTGTCAGGAGCTGTGCAGAGCCAGAAGGTCTCCCCTGAGCCTCCTTTGCTCCAGGCTCAGCACCCCCAGCTCCCTCAGCTGCTCCTCCCCACACTTGGGCTCTAGACCCTTCCCCAGCAGCTCCGTTGCCCTTCTCTGGCCACGCTCCAGCCCCTCAAGCTCCTTCTTGCAGCCCACCACTTGAAGCCAGGCTGCTCTCCCCTGTCCTGCTATCAGAGAGAAAACAGAATGAAGTGACTTCTCTATTCCTTACTCCTTTCTCTTGTGGATTTGCTTTAGTCCCATCTGTCCTCCTTACACCCCGTGCCTGTGTCGTACCCTTCATAACACAGCCCCTGAGAGGGAGCAGAGCAGCTCGGCCCAGCCCAGTTCAGCTCAGCCCAGCCCAGTTCAGCCCAGCTCAGCCCAGTTCAGCCCAGTTCAGCCCAGTTCAGCCCAGCTCAGCTCTCAGGAGCCACAGCCCAAGCTGCAGTGGCAGAACTTGGCTCTGCATTTACCTCCCTCCAGGAATCCAAGCATCTCATGCTCTTCTCAAGGATTCTTGCTGAGGCTCCATCAAAAGCATTTCCCCTTCTGGTGACTTTTTGAGCCTTCTAATTCCATTAAGATTATTAATATTTTTAAATTCCTTTTTTTTTCACGTGAACCTAAATGGATTTTTTCCTGCAAGCAGTAGGGGACACTGTGGGAAAGCAAAACCCGGCGGCTGTACCTGCAGGACTGTGACTAATGCAGAAGATCCAGGGAAAGTTACTCTGCAAATCTTTTCTTGTGGTAAAGTTTGTTATTTCCATTGCTAAGGGAAACACCAAACACTGGTGGAAAGGCCCATCAAGCAGCAGCTCTACCTCACAGGGTTTCTGACCCCTGCTCATCACACTTTAGAGGAAAAACCACAATGATTGAAGCCAAGAGCTTTCTAAAAAAGATGATTCTCCTCATCCCCTGCTTCTGTCCTTCCTCCCTGCCTGGCTCCTTCCACCTGCACCACCAACACGGGTGGGTGGTGGAGCCAGGGGTGTTCCCCACTGCCCTGTAACCTCCAGGACACCCCTCTCTCCCCCAACACCCCATGTCACCTCCTGCTCTCCTCCCCAGGGTAGTTCTCCAGGTGGGACAGGACCACCTCAGCCCCCACAGCCCCAAAGCAGCAGTGTGGGAGGGGAGATGTGGCCAGTCCTGGAGCCACACAAGGTGCCTGGAGTCCTTGGCATCACACGAGATGTTAAACACAAACCTTGTGAGCCTCCCAAACCCCCTGCCAGGGCTGTTTCTAGGAGGGCCTGGGAGGTGTGAGGGTTCCTGTGTGCAGGTTGGGGAGAAGCAGGAGAAGAACAGGAACAGAAATCACCACACTCCTGGACCTAGAGCTTTATGGAGGACTCTGAATCTCCAAAGCCTAATTCAAAGCCAGGAGGCTCCATACTGGTGGAACTGGCTCCCGTGGTCTCCAAATTGTTCATTAGCAGCTCCATCTGTGTGAGAGTTGGACTTCTGGTTTGTAAAGTGTTTTTCTTGTAAAATTTACAACATGTCTGGCCCCAGCAAAGTCTGTGGGGAGAACTTTCCAGGCGGTGCAGCCCCCCCTGCTCCCCCCAGCACCAAGGCTGAGCCCCCACACTGCTGAACTCCTGACTCTGCAGAGTGACATGTGCCAAAGGGAGGGGGAAAAAGAGCCCAGGAGAGCTGGGCTGGGTCCAGGGAAACATCCCATCTCTGGGTGGGAAGGGGAGGGTTCCTCTGGCCGTGGATCCAGGGAGACCCCCAGCTGGATGTGGTTTGTGGAGCTTGTGATGCTCAGGATGGGAGGGAGTCTCCTGGTGTTGGGATCTGCCTTGCCAGCTCTGAGTGTGCAAAGCACCAGAGCCAGAGCTTGGACCATCCTGTGGATGAAAAGGAGCCAGGGCAGCTGCACATGCTGCCCTAAGGTGGGCACCCACATGTGTACAGGTTCTATCTTTAGGTTTTGGGTCTTGGCTCCAGGGACTGACCCTGCAGCAGCAACAGAGGTCTCCAGGCTGCTCGGTCTCCATCGAGACATGGGCAGGGACTGAGACCCCCACCCCCACCTCCTGCCCTCCAAAAGCTGAGGCTGCAGCTCCCCTCATGCCAGGCAGGGCCCGTGCCATACCCAGACTGGGATTACTGGGGAACCAGTGACCCACAAGGACTGCTGCTGCAAGCTGCTGGCTGAAATGTGTCCTGAGCTGCACAGCTCACTGTCTGCCCCCGAACAGAGCATCCCTGGGGAGCCCCAGCCCCACCATGGATGGGGACATCATGCTCTCTCCTTTATCTTTTGAGAGCTGTATTAGCACAGAAAGCAATTACTGAACCTGAACACAAAACCCCATCATCAGCCCAGCTCCAAAGCCCAAGAAGGGCAGCTCAGGCAGAGGTTAAGGTTCCCAAAAGTTCTGCCATCCCCACGAGCCTCTCTGTGCTCTCAGGCAGCCCCACAGCAGACACCAGCTCCTCTTCAGCTGTCCTTCCAGCTGGGACCAGCACTAACACCTCCAATCCCCAGGTTTTAGGTATAACAGAGGACTAACAAAGAGCACTTGGGACTTGGTGTTTAGACCCTGTGAATTTTTAGTCCCATGTGGTGCTCGGGGGGCTCCTCCCCCCATCTTTCTGTGCAAAAAGGGGCTTTGATCCTTCTGCCCACCCATGCATGGTGAGGAGCTGAGCATCACTCAGGTACCATCACCTCCTGGAAGCCACAGAGACCTCCCTCCAACCTGATATCCTCTGATCTCTCCACCTATATGCTCTACCAGCACCTAAGCATGGCACTCTCACCTTGAACACATTACCTTGGACAGGGAACACATCCCCAGCTGAAATAACCATCACCAGAACCTTCTCCTCTCACTTTAGTGGGTCACTGAGTGAGAAGGGACTGTGGAACAACCCACGTCCCACAGAAGGAGGGCACAGCTCGTGCAGCCCTTGGCTTTTTTGTAGTTCTCCAGCTCACCACCCTTTGCCACCCGAATTTAACCAGGGAAGGTCAAAGGCTACATCAGGTCGCATCACTTCTCATTATCTCCAACAACAACAGCTCCTGCTTTCCCTTCATTTCCCAAGCAGACACCCTGGTTCTCCACAGGTCTGGCTCAGCATACAGCTTCAGCAGGGGCAGTTCCTCAAGCCTCACCCACAGCCAACCCTTCACCCACCCTGTGGGAACAAGCTTGGGAAGGCAGCAGGTCCCTGGAGGAGGCGGGTGCAGGGCAGAGAGCAGCAGGTCCTGGCCAAGGAATAAAAGGTGGAGCAAGACTCTGGGACCCAGCTCTTAGATCTTACAGGGAACTGGTGCACCTGGCACAGCTCCCATCCCACCTCTGTGCTCAGAAAGAAAAGTCATTTTGTTCCAGAGGAGTGTCTAGACAGGGAGATACAATAGCCACTGCAGACAAGAATCACGCTCTGCCCAGCCAAGGCCTGGCTCTGTCTTTATCCAGCCCCTAGCACGATAACCTATCAGCCTCCCTTGGCTCTGGGGGGGCACTGCCAGCACAAGGTGAGTGCTGGAGGGCAGGGCAGTGTCCCCTCACCCAGCAGGGCAGTGTCCCCTCACCCAGCCTGTCCCTCCTCTGAACGCAGCTCGGGGCTCACAAACGATTCGTGTCTGCAGGCAGGAGACTGATCCGAGCTCAAATGAGAACAGAAAACTCTCCCCCAGCCAAACGTGGAGCAGAAGGGGCTGAATGCTGCAATGGAAAATGGAAGTGAGCTGAGGCCTGTGTTTTCAGAAGGGGGAAGAAGGGAAATGTAAAAGGCTGTGCTCAGTACACTGCGCAGGAGGTGGAGGGTTTATTATGTTACACACACCTCCTCCTCCACTCTGCTGCCACGCAGCTTTTCCCTGTGAGCACCTTCTGGCTGCAAGACTGAGATAACAGAGGCTTGAGTAAGATATTTTACAAAAAATAGCAACCTGCCTTCTCTCTAAATAAAGTCACTTCTCAGCTCTCCCAGTCTGCGTGCGAGGATGTGAAGCGTCCACCACGACTCCCTGGTAGCATCCCAGGGGAGCTGCTCAGAGCATCCACCCCCCTGCTGAAGTTCCTCTCTCCTCTTAGGAAGGCAGCTGAAGTTTATTTACAAACTCAGACCTTGTCCCTGGAAAACCCACCTCGCTTCCCAGGGCATCAAAAATGCTGCTCTGCAGTTTGCAGGACACAAAAGGCACCAGCCAACACTCCGAGCAGCTTCTGTGCCAGTCCCCACCTCCAGAAGCTTTGGGAGCAGCTTCAAGGGACAAAGCAACAAGACTCTGGGCTTTAAAAAACAATATGAAGAGGGCATTAGCTTTGTTGGGTTTTTGGGAAGTCATTATCTAGTAAGCACCAAGAGCTGCCCTCGTGTTGGCCCAATGAAGTCCACGAGCAGAATAAATAACTTCATGCCACAGGAAGGAGGGGAAGAGTTTTCCCTTTGATTTTTCTTCATCTGGAGCACTGAAGGCTTTCCACTGCTGCCCACTGGTGAGGAACAAATCTTTGGGATGATAAACAACTGCCTTTTGGAAAGTCCAAGACATCCTGCTACCAGGAAAAGTGACCAACTCGAAGCCCTAAAACTATGAGCAGCATTTTGTTTGCTGGTTGCTATTTATTAACAATGCTCAATCCACCCACAGCCTGCCAAAAATTGTGAGGCTTCTTTGGACCAGTGGCACAGCATCACTTAGTTCTGGGTTGTGATGTTTGGGCTCCTTCTACAAACACCCAGCACAGATGAGATAAATAATAATAATAAAATAATTAGAGAAGCTACATCAGTAGCTGAAGGGCAGCTTTAAAAATTTCTCTCCAATTTCTTCTGTAAAAACAGGATCTCTTTGCCCTAATACAATAAAGTGTCAAGGGGTGACAGTTTTTCCCACTGTTGAACCTGAATTTTCCTGAGATTAAATCATATTCTGCCATTTTATCCATTATTTCCTCCCTTCTCCACAGGGATGTGGAACACAGATCCCTGCTTTCCTCTCTGTGGTAGGTTTTCACCTGTTCCAAAGCTGTTCTGGTATTGGGATGTCCATGCAGAGAAGGTTTTTGCACCTCTGCTCTTCCTGCAGGTCCCTCTTTGCACCCTCACCAGTCAGCTGCATCCTTCCCAAACTGGGTGCTCAGTTGAGGGTTGTGGGAGGGTGACACAGAATCACAGACTGGTTTGGGTGGGAAGGGACCTTCCAAGGTCACCCAGTCCAACCCCCTGCAGGGACAGGGACATCTGCAGCTAGAGCAGGGTGCTCAGAGACACCTCCAACCTCCCCTGGGATGGTGCCAGGGATGGGGCAGCGACCACCTCTCTGGGCAGCCTGGGCCAGGGGCTCACCACCCTCAGCATCCCAAATTCCTTCCTTCTCTCTAGTCTCAATCCCCCTCCTTTAGTTTCAAACCATCCCCCCATGTCCTGTCCCAACAGACCCTGCTCCAAAATCTGTCCCCAGCTTTCTGACAGGCCCCTTCCAGCACTCCAAGTTCAGCTGCTCGGATGGAGGCGGGTGATCCAGAGGGACCCACCTCAACAATAAACCTCTCCACATCACCTCCTGACCATAGGATTTATGTTGAGAGCCCTCCAGCCTACACTGCAGACAGGTTATCAGCTGGGTGATGGAGCAGAGGGAGTCCCCGAGGTGGCTGCTGAGCACAACTGATCAGGGCTGTGCAGAGTTCCACAGGTTGGGAGTTCCTCCCCTCCTGCCCAAGCCAGGCAGACACGTTCCTGGATGGGTTGTGTCCCTGCCAGAACGAAATGAAGGGCTTCAATTCAGAGCCACAGCACCCTCGGGATGTCCAGACGTAGGAAACAAAGAGGGGATTTAGCCAAGCAGTGAAAAGGCATATTATATTTAGATAATAAAATTAACATCACGAAAATTATTTCCTGGAAAATAACGCCGGGTCACGGGAGAGACAATTAAAGCGCTACTGGTAATTAAGAGGTGGTCGACTAATAAATGGCAATTTGGAGGTGGAGCAGCACCGTGGCTCCTCCTGTTCCTGCAGCCCTGTCGTGCCAGGGGCCTGGCTCTCCAAACCTCCAGCTCCTCCAAGCGGATCCTGCAGCCAGGGCTGGGAAGTTCTGCAGGAAACCCGCGCGGAGGACGGCGTCGTATGTCAAGGGGTGATGAGGTGCAAAGAGGGACCTGTCAGGAGCAGCACAAAGGGATGGTAAATATCTTCCCCCCCTCCCAGGTCCCTGGCTTTTCTGCAGCCTGTCAGAGCTGGCTATGTCAGCTCCTCACCTGGCCACCACCGGCCAGCTGCAGGAGCAGCCCCGTGGCTGGGGGCTGGGCGGTGCAGGAAAATCCCAGAATTTCCCCAGACTGCTTCAGTGGGATCCAGGGGCAGAGGTCCCTTGGCTTTAGGGACTCCATAAACTCCTCTACAGGGTCTGCCAAACTTGCCTG